CTTACCCTCATCACCGTCCAAAGTTCATCGTACGGTCACGATTGACAGGTAGTGTTTCATTTTTTATTTTATTTTCTACAAATCAGAATGACCTGAAATTTGGAGCATGTGTTAATCAAAATTAGGCAAATCTAAGAAAAATATCATAAAAATATTTTACATGAAAAAAGTTGACCAAAATACCCCAAAAATTTTTCGGAGGTATTTTGGTCAATTGTTTTTTCACGAGTTATTTTTTTTATATTTTTATTAGGTGCGGCTCACTCAGATGTACACACGCTCCAAATTTCAAATCATTCTGATTTGTAGAAAAAAATGAAAAATGAAACACTACCGGACAATCATGACCGAACGATGAACTTTGGAAGGTGATGAGGGCAGGCGAAATCACTATTCATTTCGCCTATAGGCGTTGGGAAGACTTTTCCTATATATATATATGTATGTATGTATGTATATATGTATATATCGGATATTCTAAATTCACAAGCCTCCAAATTATTAAGGTTAATGTTAGAGTAAATTGTGAAGGGTCGATTTACTAACTATTTAGTTTCTTTTTTAAAAAAGTTATTTCTTGTGATATCTTGCTCATCAAGTAAGGGTGTTTGTGTAAATATCACTAAAAGAAATGGGGAACTTTTGTCATCTTCATAATAGGTAAAGTTGAAATTTTTACTAAAGGACAAGGGTACTCTATAAATAAAGTTTCAGGACACTAACTTTCAAAATACCATAATCAGGCCGTCAACTAGAAAATTGTCATAAAGCAAAAGAATAGCTCAAAATAAAAAAAGTCGGGTTCAAAATTAAAAATCTTTTGGAACTTACCTTAGGATCAAGATCCCTTCAAACCATGATCAGGCCCTCTTCCAAAGCAATCAATATCCCTTTTATTTAGGGTTCGAGGTCCTTATAAGATAGGAATCGAGCCCCTTGAAGGGGGAAGCAAGCCTGCTCCTGCTCCAGCTCCAGCTCTAGCTTTGGGATCACTCCCTGTACAAGCTCCCCACATCTATGATTCTTCTCTTGAAATTTAAGAGCTGAGCTATTTTGATACGATATCAAGAGTTTATGTTTGGGAAAGAAGTACAGAATTGTGCCCAACCTAGCTCTCCACATCTACAATTGTTCTCTTAATTGAAATTTAAGGGCTGACCTATTTTGATATCATATCAAGAGTAAATGTGCTGGAAAGAAGCAGAGAAATGTGGAGTTGCCGGAGTAAGAGTTGCTTCAATCAACTAAACTAGGGTTAGTGAAAGCAAAAGGATACCAGGTTTCTCAAAGGTATATATAATAGCAGAGTGAGACAGTGAGAGGATGGATAGAACAATGGAGATATGGCAAATTGCCAAATACAGTGCTCATGCAGCCAATAGCGACTTTGCCAAATGGAGTTCATCCACATAGGAGAAGCCAAGCCTGGCCCTTAAACCCTACGTGGATAACATAGGGAAAATGGGGAACATAGAACTATTGTGCCGAATTCTTTACACACTATTGTGCAGAATTCTTCACACATACACACCCATGCAGTATGGTGGTCATGCAGCCAATGATTACTTCGTCAGCTGGTAAGTCACGTGGAGTTCATGCACTTAGGAGAAGCAAAAGCAATGGCCCTTAACCTTGACATGGATACCGTGGGGGAAATGGAGAGCATAGAATTTTTTTTTTAAGAAAGGAGAGGATAGAATTATTGTACAGAATTGTCACACACACATATGCAAGAGAGAGAGAGAGAGAGAGAGAGAGAGAGAGAGAGAGAGAGAGAGAGAGACTACGTAGTAGTAGTAGTAGTAGTACGTACGTAGTAGTAGTAGTACTACGTACGTTTACGTTACGTTACGTTACGTACTACTACTTACTTACTTACTTACGTTACTTA